AAAAATAAAAGTACCAAAAATTAAACCATATAAATATTCATGAATTCTTAGATACTTATATAAATAAGCCTCAAATAGAGGGCATACACCCAATTAATACAAGTGCTATAGCGGGCAGTACTTTAACTCTTCATTGCTCTGTCAAATCGGAGGAATTGCCACACATTCAGGTATTTTCATTACATTTTACAAATTAGTTATAATTACTGTTATATCTTATTTATATGATTAGTGGCTCAAAAAAATTGATGTAATCACTAATCATGGAGACGATGTTAAGGATGAAGAATCGCAACATTACATTAAAGTTATCGGAGAATTGTATAAAATAGTGGCTTCCGATCAAATGTTTAGATCTTCTGAACATTTATATTCAAATAAATTAATTATAAATAACGCCAATATATTAAACGCCGGGAAATATATGTGTTGTAAGTATTTACTAAAATAGACTTAAAATTTAATGTATTTAAAAATATTAATAATAATTTGGTAATTGTTATTAATAGTGGCGGCCAATACAGTGGGCACCAGCCATAGGACGGCTTTTGTTTTAATTCATACATCAGGTAAGACTTATTCAATACAATTGCAATACTTGTGTAAAATTATATAAACGATTCTTATACTTATATATCAGAATCAGAAGAAACTCAAATGAACGGAATAATGAGTGAAGACATACTTCCGGTGCCAATAGTGGTGGCATTTGTATCAGTAATACTAATAATAGTGATGGCAATCATGGTATGGATGTCAATGTGTTTGTGCCAAAAGCCGGAGCCAAACACTCGTATCACTGAATCAGTGTACGAATCGCCGGCTAAACGCACTCGTTGTGTGCCTTCGGAAGGGAGTCATACATATAATCAGATGGTGACCAACAAGTCGGTCATGTCATCCGTATCCATACCAACCATGCCATCGATGCCGTCCTCCGAACTCAGATCTTCCTCTCCTTTCTATTCTGAGATCACATCTCATGACAAACGCATCGCTAATGCTTACCAAATGTATACAAATCCTCAAGACTTTAAGCCAAACAACTGTCACCCAAACAAACCATACGGTTATTTATGTTAGGAGTCCTCATATTACGAGTCCAAACAAATAAATCTAGTCTCAAGTCTGGCCCTAAAAGTATTTTCATATCATTGTATTTCATATCATTTAAACACATCATATATTTCTAACAATGTATTAATTGTACAAATATTCTACTCATAATCACAATTCAATCTTATTTTCCTACGATATAAGACAATGTGTTGTAAAATGTATTTAATCTAATATTTAAATAATTGTTTTATAAATATTTCCAATATTCAATTTCATTTTTTACAATAACAAAAAACATTCATATAAATGTAAAACAGAATTATTTACCATTTATTTAAATATTTATAAAAATATATACATTTTACGGGTAATAAAATTTTCAATTATAATATTTTTAATTACTTTTGAATTAGTGTTAATTTTAAAAGTGGTTAGAGAGCCGTAAGGGGCAGGAAATGCTATTCAGTAAATAATAAACATATTAGAGTACAAGTGATAAAAGCATTAAATGTAAACACAATTTACTTAAAACAGTTTGGAAAGGGTTGGCATCTTATTACCGATTCTCTCGTAATTTTCAAGATCTTTAAAGAATTTAATGAATGTTTGGTGACAATCGTTGAATTCAATTTCCAGTGATTTAATTTCATTACAAATATTCATCGAATTTTCGATATTAACGGAAGCGCTCGACATCTTATCGAATACATCAAATCGCTCTGAATTCACCGAATTGTCCATCAATTCTAAAACAATAATATTTATTATAACATTTAAACTAAACAATCGATACAACCGTTCAGTTTCTTAAAGTCGTTTTGAGTGCAGTTTTCAACTTTCAGAAGAAGTTTTTGTCCGACAATTAATTGCGACAAACTCTTGAAAAGTGAATCCATTTGTGACCTAATCTGCAAATATTGGTCCAAACATGCCTTCCGTTTCTCCACAATATCTGTTAAATCAATGGTGTTTTGCAGCGAAAGCAGACATTTCTTTGTGTCCATTAATTGGGTTTTCATATCATTAGTTTGGGACCAGATTTGAGTGATTGTATTGAAAGCGTTTGAATTCCTTTCGCTTTCCATTTGTTTGGCTTTTAGTTTAAGTAAAAGTGTTTCCAAATAAATGGACACTAATATTGAGTTTTCCATGTCTTTGGCTTTACTCTCATTTTCCAGTCCAAGAGTCATCGGAACGGCACGACTAGTCACCGGCGCCGCTATCGGATCACAATCTGGTCCGAAAGGCAATCTCTTCGATACCATGGATTTCCTTCGGGTAATCAAACCTTTTTGGTATTTATTGAGATTTAAATTAGGGTTTAAATCCTTATTAACGACCACTTGATTGATGGCTGAAATGCCCGAAACATTCAGCGACTTATCGGTCGACAGCGGAGTCGACGCCTGTTTTGCTTTGGTCTTCGCATTGGGCGTCGGATTACGGCTCCGACTGGCAGTGCGGCCACCGATCGGCTCCTGTCGGGGGATCACGTCATCCGCTCTTTTGTTGACCCACTGTTGAGTGGATTGTCGATATCGGGACCCAACTGTCCTAAACCGGGGCTCGTCTTTGGTCTCCGATTTAGGCATCGATTTGATCACCGGTTGAGTCGTTGTCTTCGTATCAATTGGTCCCTCAGCTGATGGCTCTTCGCTAATATGCGGAGCAATGCTCTCATCGATCACTTCGTGTGAATTTGAAGCCATTTGTGACTCAAAGAGTGGTTTTGAATGAATGTATGGCACAAACAAGTGATGTCTTCGTGTCTTCGCTACAAATCAGATGACATTCACAGCAAATAAAGCGCCAAAACATTGACAACACATTCAATACATAAATGATGTCTTCGTATGGATTGGGAGTCAAAGCGTTGTTTGCATTGAATTGTTGTCAAAAAGGGTTTGACTTAAGACTCAATTATTTGTCGTTTTCTTTGAATGAATTGATTATTAAATAAAAAACATTTGGTTTTTAAACATTGAATTCAAACAACAATTAACAGCAAAAACAATGACTTCTTTGCGGTTATCGTTAAACACGTGTTTGATTCAAAAGCTGACACATCGAGGAATATTCACCACAAGTTATCTGTTGGCCGAACCGATGAGGAAGAAGAAGCGAATTGATCCGCAATTACTGAAGAAGAAGGAGGAGAAGAAGATGAAGAAATTGGAGAAAGAGATCAGACGTCTTCAGTTGACTCCTAAACAACTCAAACCTATCGTTGAATTGCAATTAACGCCACAAATCACACGAGAGTTACCGCAAAGACAACGACAAGAGACTGATCCCGAGGCCGCGCAGGAGTTGCAACGTATGACCAAATTGTGGTCAATTTATCGGTGCGAACAACGCTTAGCCGAACTCAAGTCCATTACATCTGTGGTTAACTCTCAGAGACAGGCGTTGAATGTTTTGCGACGAGAATCGCAGGAACTCTACTCTTCGGCCATTAGTATTGACCAGAAGTTGATTCCAATGCGAACCCAATTTGTTAAGAAAGAGACGCCTAAAGTGGAGGAATATACGGCACCCGACGGACGAAGAAGTGATGTCACCAAACAGTGGACGATGTGATCAACGCATCCATTGTTTGCATCATTTTATTACCTCTTTTGCCGCATTTGTTCTCAATTTTGTGTTTTTCACACATTTTGTTAGTTTTTGTAAACTTTATTGTAAATAAAATTTTAAATTTAGGAATTAGTCAAACATTTAATAAATTATAATAAACGAAAGAATAATATTAAATAAAAAAATTATCTTAAATTTGAAGTATGAATGACTGTATATAATAGTGAATATTAAATTTTAAAATTTCTATTAATAAATTAAAGATTTTTAAAACATGTATTAAAAGTTTTAATTTAAAACACATGAATTATTAATTAATAAATACTAATTGTGATGTAAACTGACGATTGGATTAGTTATGAAACTAATAGTCATTTAGAGGACTGTTATATAACAGTAAAGTATATTTTAAAATGAGTGAAACATTTGGTTTGAATTGCATTTTATTTTTAAAAGTTTTGCAAAAGTTTAACAAAAGTTTTGCATAAAAGCTGTAAATGAGACCAAATTGAGTGAGAAATACGTTAAGAAAAGGCAGTGAAGGCATGCTTTCGGACGTAACCGACATTTGATTCATTGATTCACACAATTATCGCCACAAATGTCGGCCAAAGAAACGATCGACGAGTTGTGTCTTCGGCACCAATTGAGTGACACAAGCAAAGAGTCGGCGAACGAGAAGTACGAACACATCTCAAGACACCATTCCTTCGCTTTCGCCAACAAACAGAATAAAAGTATTTTGTCTGCCGTTTGTCTGTATTTGAGTGCCTTTGAAGACCACAAACCGGTGACAATCACTCAAATCTGTCACACAATTGGCGTCAATATCAACGAATTCGGCAAAGTTTACAATCAAGTCATCAAAGAGTTCCCGCAACTCAAGAACGAGTCCATCAGTATTGAAGAGTTGGTCGAACCCACGCTTAATGGCTGCCACTTCGACGACGACGAGAGACCCGAACTGATCCAACGGGTGATCGAACTGTTGCGTGTCGTCCGCGACTGTTGGCTCATCG